ATGTAGATCAGTATTACATTAAAAAAAAAATCTCCTGAGATCATAACTGCTACTACTCTGTCCCATTCTGACTGTTGGTGCTCAGTGTAGTATACAACAGAACTTTCTTAGAGCAGTGTTTTAAAAAGAGTCATCTACCAACCTTCTAGTGTTACCTGTGGGCAATCTGCTCTACTTTGTATATAAAATATAGTTGTACATCGTAGATCATTTGTCAATTTTAACATCATACTCTTCAATAGCCCAGTCATATCCTGGCATCATTCCCTTAACTTGGACCCCCTCCCATTCTCCAAATATAATCTAAACTTCTTGCTTCAGGATCAGTTTTCCCTAGTTCAGCTATTCCTTGCTGTCCTGTATGTTTGTTCATTGTCAATCATAATAATTTTCTTTGTCCTGAGTGCAGTTTAGGATGTATGTAGCATACAAGTGTCAGTAGAATTCTATAAATTATTACTATATTTAACAATTTAATGTGTCCTAATTTTAACTTTTATGTTGAAAAGTAATTGAGAAAGGTAAGAGAAACATTTAGACTGTCAGATCCTTACTAGTTAGGACCATAAGGTATTATGTTCACATCACACCGAAAACTTTTGGAGAGTACCAGTTCAGCCAGTATAAATTGAAAAAGATGCCAAACCAAATCTGTTTGTAGAATTAAGTCATTGTCTACACGTCACATTTTTTCCTCAGGTTTACTTAAGGAATAATGATGAACATTAGTAATAGGAAACCTAGTTTTACAGAATAGACCTGTGAAGTGGGCTTTAAGAGACACCCAAATAATCAGCCATCGTGTGTTGACTAGATGTGGATACAATGTAGGAAATAAATTTTCAGAGCTCCACATGTGCAAAAATAAAACTATCATACTTCCTCAAAGAATGTATGAGTAAGAGAAGGGAAAGAAATAGAGAATTCAGCCCTTTGGATGCGTATAAGGTGACTACTTCTACTTAACCTTAAAACAGTATGAAATTGTGAAGAAATGTAACTACATTTGGATTGGTTATGCAATATTGTTACTGTCTACTCTTGCAAATTCTAAAAATGAAAGTTAAGGTTTTTATGGTTTTATCTGACAAGTATACTTTTAATAGAAAATTCTTATAGTATGTATTCAAGAAGTGCCTGAAATTGATTTGTCTTGATTTTTAAGCCCAGCTAATAAATTGTGTTTTTTTAATGGTATTAGAAATGCTTATCATACCGATGACACAGATCTGAGAGTTTCTTAAGATATAATTTGTGTTTATTTTGAATAAAAATGCTTGAAATTGAAGCTACCCACCTACCCCTCATCACATCATGGTATAAAGAAGCTAAAATAGAACTATTTTTTTCTCTTTTCTGATAAAACTATTTCATGACCCTTGCATTAGTTAATGCAGAGACTAGAAAATTCAACTTTGTTTTTAAAAACAATTAGAAAATTTTATTATGTTTAGAAAGCCTACTAAGAGTTTGTTGCTTGTATAAAAGTAGCCTCTTAGTTCTCATACTCTGTAAGTAATTGTTAATGTCATTACCATGTAGCTCCTGGACTGCTTCATTTATGTATATATAAATATGCATCAAATATTCATCTTTACATTCTACTTATTCACCAAAATATTTGATAAGATCTTACTAAAGTTTCTTTTGTGTTGTCCCATTTTTTAAAAATAAAACTGACCAGAGAGTGTAATTGAATTCTAGGGCAAATTATGTGCAATGATGTACAGTTACAATATTGTGCTTCTGTTATACTTCATCTTGCATGGAAAGTGAAATGTGTACATGACCTTAAGTTACAGTTATGCATACTGTTCCCTTTTCTCAAACTTCTTGCATTGACAATATACAGAATTCCTCTCGTGTTTGCCTGAAATTAGTCTGCATAGATTGGGTAGCCTTTTCCTTTTGTGTGTCCCTTAGTGGTTCCAGGAGTTGGGTTGATACCTGCAAAGCACTTTTAAAAATAATTTTTAGGTTATGTCCATGGTACAGCATTGAGGAAGCAGCTATGTCTGTTAGGGGCTCTTTAGGTTACTAGAGATGAGGAAAAGAATGAATATTAATTTTAATTTGCGCATGAAATATATTTGCTAATTATATTGATTTTTAAATCTTTCTTGTTTATCATACCCCCCTAGAGAAGCCTATATTAAAAATGTATTCCACTAGTCTCTGTATAAACCCCACCTAAACCAACAAAACCAAATTGAACTCTAGGCATATGATATCCAAATTAGAAATCCTTTTGAAACATTTTAGGTTTGTTTTATTGGAATTGCCAATATTGTAAAAGGTTTTCACTCAAGCTTTGCATGCAAGAAGAGGTCGAAATTGTGTCTTATCTCTGTATGACCTTGTGTTTCTCTGTATGCTAGGGAGATTTTACATTGAGGAATATTCCAGTTAGGGAGGATATTGGGAGCATGGTGCTTTTGTATTCCTCAGTGCTGCTGTGTTAGCGGTCTTGGATAATAATGCTTCATGGCCTTGGTGAGACAGCTTCATGGATGGCTGGGCATATTATGTTTGGTCTGAATAATGGGTAGAGTGGACAAATCAGAGGGGTCACCCTTCTCCACCGGTACAGCAGCAGTTTTACAGATGAACCACTTGGCATATTTGTAACTTCTTGTTTCCAGAATTGACTTTCAAGTTCCAGAAATTCAGGGCATTGGCCAAATGATCAGTAATAGAACCTTTTTGGTTACAAAATGCAGGGGTACTATCAAAGTAATTAAAGGGAGGAAATGATGAAATTTTAGTGGTAAATTTCCATGTTTGATATGTATATACCTTTCTTTTTAAGGTGCATGTTAATCCAATGTATTGTCTCTGCTTTATGCTTTAAGCAGTTAAAAAAATAAATAAAAGACTTGAGTTAAATCGTTACGTATTATGTACTGTTATGTACCTTTTCTTTCAGAAAGGGTTAATTATAGTGATTACTCACCCCTCTATATTGTCAGCATTTTTATTCTGATTTATTCTCTAAATGTACATATTCATTATAGTAGGGCTGGTATCTTCCTTGGCAGTTGGAAATGCAAGGCAGAGTTACCTGATGTTCTGTAGGGCCTTTTCCTACAACTTCATAGAGAGTTTTATCTTTAGAATGTTAGTATTGAAAATGAGCTT